ATACAATTAATTTAGGCTTGAATAGAGACTGGGAATGGTTGAATTATAAAAAGTAACCTATTTCCCCTTGTTTATTCCTTCCCCCCCCCCCCCCCCCAGACATTCTTGTTAAACCCTGGATTTGTGCTGGAAATGGCTCACCTTGATTATCATACACATTGTAAGGAGAGTGATCACTTTAGATAAGCTATTACCAGCAGGAGAGTAGGGTGGGGGGAGAGAAAATCTTTTGTAGTGAGAAACACCCATTTTTTCATTGTTTGTGTGTATAAAAACATCTTCTGTATTTTCCACAGTATACATCCGATGAAGTGAGCTGTAGCTCACGAAAGTTTATGCTCAAATAAATTGGTTAGTCTCTAAGGTGCCACAAGTACTCCTTTTCTTTTTGTGAATACAGACTTAACACGGCTGCTACTCTGAAAGTTGGGATTATGTTTTCCAATGTGTATTAATTTGCATTTATCAACACTGAATTTCATCCGCCATTTTGTTGCCCAGTCACCCAGTTTTGAGAGATCCCTTTGTAGATCTTCGCACACTGCCTAGGACTTAACTATCTTGAGTAGTATTTTAGTTATAGGAGAATGAAACCCACTTTCCATTATCATCCCTTTTTAGATATTTCAGCACCAACAGAGCAGAACGCCTCCCTTCACCCAGGCTCAGCGGGGCAAAGAGGGGGAATGGCCATCCACCCCTCACACACACACCCCTTGGGAGACACAGACACACAATGATCCCAAACCCTTTCTGCACTCAGGTCTCTAGCGTGTCTCAAAAGAACAGTGGGTAATGACATATAATTTTAAGATTTAGCCTTTCCTTTTAGTTGTGTTGAAAGCCCCTCCCACTGCAAATGCCCTCACTGAACTAAGTTATGAAACCCTCTTTTCAACAATGGTTTCAGTATTCATCACTAAGAGAGCTACAAAGTCATGGCCACCATTTGATGTATTTGAAGACATGATGCATGCATCTCTTCTGCTTTAAACATCTGCTTCTTCATACAGATTCAACTGTCGTTATAACCCAGAACTCATCCTATGTTTAGAGTCGCTCATTTTAGGATTGCAGGCTGCTTTGGAGGAAAAACATAGATGCTGATCTGTTGAGCAAGGAGATCAGGAAATGAATGAGAGCATGTCTCCTGCTCCAGGTGTGTTCCAAAAGGACTTAGGGAGAGGTTAAACCGCTCTGATCTTATTTCAGAGGAGCAGCCGTGTTAGTCTGTATTCGCAAAAAGAAAAGGAGTACTTGTGGCACCTTAGAGACTAACCAATTTATTTGAGCATAAGTTTTTTATTTATGCTCAAATAAACTGGTTCGTCTCTAAGGTGCCACAAGTACTCCTTTTCTTTCTCTGATCTTAGTATCCTTTCAACAAGCATCTGGATCTTAGTGGGAGTCCTGTGTTGGTTTCACTATGGGAATGCTCCACCCAAAAGTTCTGCTTATACCTGAACCTTCACTATTTGCTCTTGAAGGTTAGGCACAGGAGTTCCAGATGTGGATATAAACTTTTGAAGGATTACAATGACCTGTCCTGGGCTGAGCCTGGCATTATGCTGTATTGTGTTAGCCAAAAAGTACTGCACTAGGAGACGGATGTCACTTTTCGTCCCACTTTGCATCACACATAGTGAACACTGGAGTTTGGACTCCTGGACACGTGATGTGGCTTTGTGATAATACTAAGTCAAATAATAGTCCATGTTTCATGGTGAAGACAGGCACAGAGATACATGATGTCACCACATTTCAAACAAAGCATTACATCAGGAGTAGTTAATTATTGTTTTTCACGGTCCAGATTTCTTGGTCAAGGTCCAGATTGCAGAGAAACGTTTTTCACATTGCAAGGACAATAATGATAATAAGTAAATAAAAAGATGCTGCAGTCCATTCAAAAGCGTTTGGCGGTCCAGATTTGGCCCGTGGTCTTCCTATTGACTACCCCTGTGTTTCATGATCAACGGTTTTACTCAGTGTCCCTAAACAGTGTGTCCAGTTTTAATACAAAGGTATTTATATAGCACCAACCCTTGCCTATCTAAGCACATTTTGCCCTGCAAGCTAAGCATAGGATCCTGGGAAGTCACCTCTCAAGAGAGCCTTTCTCCTGCCACAAGATACCAATTGTATAGCACGTAAATACTTTTTATTAGAATCAGAACGAGTTTCCTAGTAGCAGCGGCCTTCTCACAGAACAGAGGCATCAACTGCAACCGCAGCAAGAACAATTGAAGAGCAGTTTCCATGTGGCTGTCTTTGTGCTAGTCGAAACAGTTTAAGCTGCATTTGATTTACAATGTAATCAAACATTTAAAAACAAACAGGGGAGGTGTGAACAGGTGACTACGAGCCTTCTGGGTTTCTATTCTACCACTAGGAGAGGAGTGTGGCCTGGTGGTCAGAGCAGGAGAAACTTGGAGTCAGGACTCCTGGATTCTATCATTGCCTTTGAATCCCTGCAAACAACTTTAGCAAGCCACATCCCCACTGTACCTCAGTTTCTCCATCTGTAAAATAAAGTTAATATTGACTCAGCCAGGATGGATTAGTAGTGTAAGGGAGGGCAAACAAGGGAAGGAGGAATTTTCACAGCAGAGTCACTTGAAGTGAAGTAAAGAGGGCGGGGAGAAAGAAGATTAGACCAAGAAAGAGATGCAAAATTATTTATCTTACATCAAATTATGATCCAAATTAAAAATTCTGGGGAGAAGGGCAGGGCACAGTCACTGATATTGTGTTGCACACATTTCTCTGTATATCATCAGCCTGGCCCTAAGGGCTTTGTACAGTGCTTATTACCATAGCACGTAAGAATTAACGCTATTTAGATTATAAACTCATTGGGCCAGGAATCTTCTCTCTGCCATGGCCTTTAAAGCACAAAGCAGACTTTAGGCACTTTAAAAAAAACCCCACCAACAACAAAAAAGCAGGCTGCAAGATTCAAACTCCATAAACCCAAACAACACCACAGGCTCTGGGACACCACAAGGTCATAGAGCACGTAGGGGAATGCCAGGCCATGAATGCATTGCCATCGTCCTGTTATGCAAGGTCAGTGTCTGGTGTTCTGAATGCAGCAAACCACAAAGGGGCACTGCCCTAAGAAGAGAGCATAAGAATGAGATGAATATAATATATACCTTGAGTCACAAGTCACCTTCCTCCTCCCCCCCTCATACGGCTGCTGCAACAGCAGTGGAAGCCTCCTGCGACAATGGCCTGTGTATACATTAACCAAACCCCACACGGGTAGGCAACCCCCTCAACCCACCCACAATTCCTCCAAAAGCCCCTGCACCCCCCAGGGTGTCACCTCCTCACTCCCACGGGGGGGGGGGGGGGGGCACATCATCCCCCCAACACCAGTGCGCTGCTACCTGCTTCCCCATCCCAGGGATCTGCACCAAATCCCCCTAGCCAGTGACCTCTGCTCCCCCACCCCCCCACCGACCTCCCTCTCCCAGGGCCCATGCACCACTCCAGAGGCCCCTGCAGTGACAGTTAATACCTCAGCCCCCCCCCCCCCCCCCCCCACACACACACCCGGGATCCTGGCCCTCCCCCATTGCCAGCTTCTCTCCCCACTAGAATCCTCTACTCTCTTGGTACCAATACCACCCCCCCAGGCACCTCTGCCCCCCCCATGCCAGCTCCTCTCCCACTCCCGCCAGGCACCTCTGCCCCACCATGCCAGCTCCCCCTCCCTCCACAGGCACCTCGGCCCCCCCCCCAGGACAGCTCCTCTCTTCCCCGCCAGGCACCTCCGCCCCCCCATGCCAGCTCCTCTCTTCCCCCCCACAGGCGCCTCCGCCCCCCCATGCCAGCTCCTCTCTTCCCCCCACAGGCACCTCCGCCCCCCCCATGCCAGCTCCTCTCTTCCCCCCACAGGCACCTCCGCCCCCCCCATGCCAGCTCCTCTCTTCCCCCGCCAGGCACCTCCGCCCCCCCCAATGCCAGCTCCTCTCTTCCCCCGCCAGGCACCTCCGCCCCCCCCAATGCCAGCTCCTCTCTTCCCCCCCACAGGCACCTCCGCCCCCCCATGCCAGCTCCTCTCTTCCCCCCGCCAGGCACCTCCGCCCCCCATGCCAGCTCCTCTCTTCCCCCCACAGGCACCTCCGCCCCCCCATGCCAGCTCCTCTCTTCCCCCCACGGCACCTCCCCCCCCCATGCCAGCTCCTCTCTTCCCCCCACAGCACCTCCCCCCCCATGCCAGCTCCTCTCTTCCCCCCCAGCACCTCCCCCCCCCTGCCAGCTCCTCTCTTCCCCCCACAGGCACCTCCCCCCCCATGCCAGCTCCTCTCTTCCCCCACAGGCACCTCCGCCCCCCATGCCAGCTCCTCTCTTCCCCCCACAGGCACCTCCGCCCCCCCTGCCAGCTCCTCTCTTCCCCCCACAGGCACCTCCGCCCCCCATGCCAGCTCCTCTCTTCCCCCCACAGGCACCTCCCCCCCCCATGCCAGCTCCTCTCTTCCCCCCCCCGCCAGCTCCTCTCTTCCCCCCCCCCCCGCCAGCTCCTCTCTTCCCCCCAGGCACCTCCGCCCCCCCCCGCCAGCTCCTCCCTCCCCCCAGGCACCTCCGCCCCCCCCGCTAGTGTCTCAACCACCGTAGGCCTCTGTCCGCCCCCTCCCCCCTCCCCACAGTGGCAGCTCCCGGGTCCCACCCGCGCTGGCTACTCTCCCCCCGCCCCATACTCTGCTCCCCACCCCGGTACCAGCCGCCTCCGCCCCATTCCTAGCCCGCTCCGGCGCTCACCGCCCCGCTCCTGAGCCGCCGCCGCCGCCCGGCCCCGCTGGCCGCCCCGGCTCCATGCCGCCCGGTTCCAGGCCGCGGCGCCGCCAACCCGGCCCCAGCCCCGGCCCTCGGCCCCGCCCCCTGGCCGCCAGGCCCCGCCCCTGCCCCCCGCCCCTTTGCCCCCGCGGGGGCTGACCCCTACGCTGCGTGCTGACGTAGCGGGGTTACGCTGACGCCGCTCGCCCGTCAAACTGAGACGGGCGGGGGCGCGCTCGCCTGCGGGTAGCCGAGCTGCTGCTGCGGCCGGGGGGGGTTGGCAGGCAGGGCCTCCCGGTGCGGCTCCACCGTGGGGACGCAGGGCCCCTTGGTACCATTCTGCGCTGGAGCCGCACGGTCCGTGGTGGGGACGGGGACCTCTCCCAGTGCCGCTCCGTGCTGGGAGCAAAAGGCTTTCTAGGGCACTGGGGAAACTGAGGCGGAGAGCCCTGGCTTCTCCAAGAATGCCCAGCAGGGCAGTGGTGGCGCAGAAACTGGAACCCAGGTCGCCTGAGACCCAGCCCAGCAGCATTTTGGCCCTAGTGATCAACAGAGATCGATGAGAGGGGGAGCTCTCCAGGGAGGAGGTGACTGTAACCCCTTTTTGGTCCCATCCCGATCGCAGAGGAAGACGGATCTCTGCCCTGGGAAGTTCACAGCCTAATCAGACCACAGGGTGGCAGGACATTCCCTTAAAGCTCTGCCCCCTTTCAGAAAAAAAAAATTTACCCAAGCCTCCCTGTGAACAGAAAATCTGAAGTAACCAACAGAGCAGCATTTACCCCTAAGGGGTAGGAGGGTGGACTTGGGGTAACTGCTGCCTGTCTTTTGGGAACCCCACGAGAAGGGCCTTGGCCTGACTTTCAAAGGCACTGCGTGCTCACTGCTGCTGCTGACTTCCATAGTAGAGAGACAAGGTGGGTAAATCCCATATCTTTTATGGAACCAACTTTTCCTGGTGAAAGAAAGAGTACTTTATTTTTTGAGCATGAGCTTTCGTGAGCTACACCACTTCATCAGATGTAGTGTGATCAGCTGTAGCTCACGAAAGCTCATGCTCAAATAAATTGGCTAAGGCGCCACACCACCCCTTTTTTTTTTGAGAATACAGACTAACACGGCTGTTCCTCTGAAACTTTTCCTGGTGAGTGAGACAAGCTTTTGAGCTACATAGAGCGTCTCTTCAGGTTTGGGAAATGTACCCAGAGTGCAGGGCTGGATTACCCAATAGGCAGACTAAGCACATGCTTAGGTCACCAGCAAAGTAGGGGGCACCAAAAAAAATGAAAAGGAGTACTTGTGGCACCTTAGAGACTAACAAATTTATTTGAGCATAAGCTTTCGTGAAGTGAGCTGTAGCTCACGAAAGCTTATGCTCAAATAAATTTGTTAGTCTCTAAGGTGCCACAAGTACTCCTTTTCTTTTTGCGAATACAGACTACTTGTATACAGTAACCCATCATACTTACCCAAGACAATATGTGATGAACTGATTGGTCTAATGAGTAACGAAGTTCGTTCAGTTATTGTGGATGAAATAAGTGGGTACTTCAGTTTATCTGTCGACTCTACACCTGATCTTTCACATATTGGTCAATTGAGTATTGTACTAAGATATGTCTCCCCCACAGTTGGAAAACCAGTGAATGATTTATAACATTCCTCAATTTGAAAAGCCCCACTGGTGAAGAAATGGCAAATCCAGTACTGCATTATCTGTGCCAAGTTTGCAAAATAGATTTCTCAAAGTACAGAGGTCAATCTTATGACAATGCTGCCAACACGTCAGGGCGTTATCAAGGAATGCAGAAAAAGCTTTTAGAACAGAACAAATATGCCATATGCTGCACACTCTCTCAATCTTGTTGGCCGCAGTGCTGTTGATTGTTACCCGGTGGCAGTAAGTTTTTTCTCAACAGTCCAGTTTGTACATTTTTCTCTGCCTCAACACACCGATGGGCAGTTCTTAAAACATATTTGGGCAATGACTGTGTGTTGAAATCTCTTTCTAATACTCGCTGGGAGGCACATGCAGTGGCAACAAGTGCAATTCTGGAGTCCTACTCAAAGATTGTGGATGCATTAGCAAGTATAGCTGAAGATCAGTCACAAAAGGGAGAAACTATCTGCGAAGCAGGAAACATTGCAAACAAGATGCAACAACTAGAGTTTGTATTCATGTTGACCATGTGGAATGAAATTTTACAACACTTTTACCACACAAGTCAAGCTCTCCAAGAAAAAGAATTGGCTTTGCAAACGTGCAGACCTCTGTCAACCATTAGCAGACCACTTACACACTTTGAGGAATGATTTCGAAAGATTTGAAGACCTATCGAAAGATATCTTGCCTGATACTAACTACAAAGAAGCCTAGTCCCGCAAGCGAATTAGGAAAAAACAAGCAAATGATAGCAGAGCAACAGAAACAGCATTGAATCCTAGAGACAAATTTCGCGTATCTACTTACTATGCTATAATTGATACACTTGAAGTTCATATGAAGAGGAGAGGTAAAGTGTACAAAGACGTATCAAGTAGATTTTCTTTTCTAAACGATATGGACTTATCTGATGAACAATATTCACAAAGTTCCCAAAAGCTAATTGATTCATACCCTGTTGACTTGAACATGAATCTGTGTGGAGAAGTACGGCAGTTCCACTGTTATAAGAAAAGGAGTACTTGTGGCACCTTAGAGACTAACCAATTTATTTGAGCATAAGCTTTCGTGAGCTACAGCTCACTTCATCGGACCAACACGGCTGTTACTCTGAAACCTGTCCACTGTTATGCGCACAAAGTTTAATGAAACAGGAAAAATGAAATTCAGTCACATTGATCTTCATGACACAATATTGAAAGATGGAATACAATGTCAGGTTTCAGAGTAGCAGCCATGTTAGTCTGTATTCTCAAAAAGAAAAGGAGGACTTGTGGCACCTTAGAGACTAACAAATTTATTTGAGCATAAGCTTTCGTGAGCTACAGCTCACTTCATTGGATGCATTCAGTGGAAAATACAGTGGGGAGATTTATATACATAGAGAACATGAAACAATGGGTGTTACCATACACACTGTAAGGAGAGTGATCACTTAAGGTGAGCTATTACCAGGAGGAGAGTGGAGTGGGGGGAACCTTTTGTAGTGATAATCAAGGTGGGCCATTTCCAGCAGTTGACAAGAACATCTGAGGAACAGTGGGGGGTGGGGGAATAAACATGGGGAAATAGTTTTACTTTGTGTAATGACCCATCCACTCCCAGTCTCTATTCAAGCCTAAATTAATTGTATCCAGTTAATTGTTAGTCTCCAAGGTGCCACAGGTACTCCTTTTCTTTTTGGGAATACAGTGTGTATTTCCAGATGTAGAGATTGCACTACGTACTTTTCTAACATTGATGATTACTAACTTCTCCGCAGAATGCTCTTTTTCTCAGCTGAAAAAAACCCTCAGGGAACAACAATGTGTCAGGGCAGACTTGATTCACTTTCCCTATTGTGTATGAAAGCGGACATGCTTTGTCGAGTAAGCTTTGATGAACTTATCCAGAATTTTGCAATCAGAAAATCTAGAAAGAAGCTATTTTAATTTCAGCATACATGTAAGTTTTATGTCATTTCAAAAAATAAAATTTTATTTTACGGTATAGTATTGTTTTTATTTTGAATTACATAGGGGGTGGGGGACCATAATCTTTTCAGTGTTTAGGGCTTCTAAAGGTCTTAATCCGGCCTTACCAGAGTGTCACACTAGATGATCATAATGGTCCCTTCTGACCTTAATGTCTATGAGTTTGTGAAAACCTGCTAAATACAAGATCAAACAGATTGTTTAGCATAAGTAGTTAGCACATATTCTAAGGGACCATTCAAGGTGAAGTGGCCAATTAACACCCCTGTAGTTGTAAGACAAAAAGGGGGGTTAGTGGGTTACAGGTTGTTGTAATAGACCCGTTAACATTTTACCCCCAATTGGGGATATTGCAGATTATGTATTCCTTACGCCATACAATCCTAAACCGAACTTCACACCCCTTGATAATCTGTACATTATTCCCTGATAAACAAACTTCTATTCTTAAACTCTTTACTGTTTTCTTTTTATTTTAACATCCTCTTAATACAATTTTTAAATAAGCCATGAATCCAGTGTCTTTATTAAGGTCATGATTTTTAGTGTCTAACAGTTATGAAATTAAGCTCCCAGGCTCATCTTTTGAAAGTATTGGACAGGTTTCCTTTGAGGATGAGGACTGATAGATCAAAATTCTACAAGCCATTACCCTCTGATCCCACTGAGGGTTACCAAAAGAAACTACACCATCTGCTCAAGAAACTCCCTGAAAAACGACAAGAACAAATCCGCACAGACACACCCCTAGAACCCCAAGCAGGGGTATTCTATCTGCTACCCAGGATCCATAAACCTGGAAATCCTGGATGCCCCATCATCTCAGGCATTGGCACCCTGACAGCAGGATAGTCTGGCTATGTAGACTCCCTCCTCGGGCCCTACGCTACCAGCACTCCCAGCTATCTTTGAGATACCACTGATTTCCTGAGGAAACTACAATCCATCGGTGATCTTCCTGAAAACACCATCCCGGCCACTATGGATGTAGAAGCCCTCTGCACCAACATTCCACACAAAGATGGACTACAAGCCGTCAGGAACAGTATCCCCGATAATGTCACGGCAAACCTGGTGGCTGAACTTTGTGACTTTGTCCTCACCCATAACTATTTCATATTTGGGGACAATGTATACCTTCAAATCAGCAGCACTGCTATGGGTACCCGCATGGCCCCACAGTATGCCAACATTTTTATGGCTGACTTAGAACAACGCTTCCTCAGCTCTCGTCCCCTAACGCCCCTACTCTACTTACACTACATTGATGACATCTTCATCATCTGGACCCATAGAAAAGAAGCCCTTGAGGGATTCCACCATGATTTCAACAATTTCCATCCCACCATCAACCTTAGCCTGGACCAGTCCACACAGGAGATCCACTTCCTGGACACTACAGTGCTAATAAGCGATGCTCAAATAAACACCACCCTATACCGGAAACCTACTGACCACTATACTTACCTACATGCCTCCAGCTTTCATCCAGACCACACCACACGATCCATTGTCTCCAGCCAAGCTCTACGATACAACCGCATTTGCTCCAACCCCTCAGACAGAGACAAACACCCACAAGATCTCTATCAAGCGTTCTTACTACTACAATACCGACCTGCTGAAGTGAAGAAACAGATTGACAGAGCCAGAAGAGTTACCTACTACAGGACAGGCCCAACAGAGAAAACAACAGAACGCCGCTAGCTAACTAAACTAGGAAAATTTCCTATTTCTGACTTTTTGTTGCAATACAGAAGGACATTTTTATTCAGAAGTGAAAACTTTCAGCCCCCAACTAAAACCTCTCCAGCGCATCATCAAGGATCTACAACCTATCCTGAAGGACGACCCATCACTCTCACGGATCTTGGGAGACAGGCCAGTCCTTGCTTACAGACAGCCCTCCAACCTGAAGCAAATACTCACCAGCAACCACACACCACACAACAAAAACACTAACCCAGGAACCTATCCTTGCAACAAAGCCCGTTGCCGACTGTGTCCACATATCTATTCAGGGGACACCATCATAGGGCCTAATCACATCAGCCACACTATCAGAGGCTCGTTCCCCTGCACATCTACCAATGTGATATATGTCATCATGTGCCAGCAATGCCCCTCTGCCATGTACAGTGGCCAAACCGGACAGTCTCTACGTAAAAGAATAAATGGACACAAATCAGATGTCAAGCATTATAACATTCAAAAAACCAGTCGGAGAACACTTCAATCTCTCTGGTCACACGATTACAGACCTAAAAGTTGCAATTCTTCAACAAAAAAACTTCAAAGACAGACTCCAATGAGAGACTGCTGAATTGAAATTAATTTACAAACTGGACACCATTAAATTAGGCTTGAATAAAGACTGGGAGTGGATGTGTCATTACACAAAGTAAAACTATTTCCCCATGTATTTTCCTCCCCTACTGTTCCTCACACGTTCTTGTCAACTGCTGGAAATAGCCCACCTTGATTATCACTACAAAAGGTCTTGACCCCCCCCCACTGGTAATAGCTCACCTTACCTGATCACTCTTGTTACAGTGTGTATGGTAACACCCATTGTTTCATGTTCTCTGTATATAAAATCTCCCCACTGTATTTTCCACTGCATGCATCCGATGAAGTGAGCTGTTGGTCACAAAAGCTTATGCTCAAATAAATGTGTTAGTCTCTAAGGTGCCACAAGTCCTCCTTTTCTTTTTGTGGATACAGACTAACAGGTTGCTACTCTGAAACCTGGCTTTGTGAAGTGTTCACCCATGGGTGATACGGTGTTTTTGTCTTTTATCATTTATCTTTTTTTCTGTGAGAGTTCATCCGAGAGCATGGTGATAGCAGAGGGTACACAAGCACACAGGCCGTTTTCCTCCTCAAAGGTTGAAATCAATGCAAGTTAGATGCCTAAATACTTTCGAGGATCTTCACCTTAGTATGTCAAGTTGGGGACCTAAAATCAGTGGCCACTTTTGAAAAAAATGTGGGTTCAATTTCTCCATGCCTCACTTTCCCCATCTGTAAAATGGGATAATACTTCCCTACCTCCCAGGGAGCTGTGAGAATAAAGGCCCAGATCTTCAGAGGTCTCTAGTCGCCTAATGCTCATTTACATATTTGGGAGACACTCAGATACTATGATGGGACCTATGTAAGTACCTTGATAAACAGAATCCTCCTTCTTCATGTGAGAACTCAGGGGTCAGACAGACAATTTGATCAAGACAACTTGGTGCATGATTGTGAGGATGTGAAGCAGCAGGGAGGAGGGAGTGTTGACCTGGGAATGTGCCCTGGGGATGGGAGACCTGAGAGCCTGTCACCTGAGCCAGGAGGGGGAGGGGGAGGTAACACCTCTGCCCAGGAATGTGAAGACAGGCTGCAGAAGGGAACCTGCTGGGGGGGGGTTTAGTTTCAGTTTGGGGCTGGGTGGAGGAACACAGGGGACCCCAGGGCTGGGGTCTAAGCTCCCTGCTCCCCCAGAAGGCCTTGACTGAGGGGTCCTGGGTGTACCCACAAGCTCTGTTTTGGACCGTGTTCCTGTTGTCCAATAAACCTTCTGTTTTATTGTAGGTTTCAGAGGAACAGCCGTGTTAGTCTGTATTCGCAAAAAGAAAAGGAGTTCTTGTGGCACCTTAGAGACTAACCAATTTATTTGAGCATGAGCTTTCGTGAGCTACAGCTCACTTCATCAGATGTTTACCTGGAAACTCAGCAACTTTATATACACACAAAATCATAAACAATACCTCCTTCCACCCCACTTCCTCTGTAATAGCTTATCTAAAGTGATCAACAGTGGGCCATTTCCACACAAATCCAGGTTTTCTCACCCTCCACCCCCCCACAAATTCACTCTCCTCTTCTTCCCATCCAAATACAACTCTTTACATAATCAAGTCGCTATTTCCTCATAGATCAAGTTTTCCACATCCCCCCCACCCCCATACACACACAAACTCACTCTCTCTATCAAAAATTTTCTTATTCAAAAAAAAGGAGTATTGTCACCTTAGAGATAACCAATTTATTTAGATGAGTATACACTCACTCATCAATTTTACCTAAATCAGCAACTTTATATACACACAGAAATATAAACAATACCTCCTCCCACCCCACTGTCTCTGGTAATAGCTTATCTAAAGTGATCAACAGGTGGCATTTCCAGCACAAATCCAGTTTTCACCCTCCACCCCCCACACAAATCACTCTCCTCTACCCATCCAAAGGACAACTCTTTACATAATCAAGTAGGCTATTTCCTCATAGATCAGCTCCACACCCCCCCACCCCCATACACACACAAACTCACTCTCCTCTTAATAGCTCATCTAAACTACCACTCTCCAAGTTTAAACCAATAAACCAGAACATCGGGGGGGGTAGAAAAAAAAAAACAGCTACCTCATAATGATTAGACTCCCAGTCTCTATTTAACTAAATTAATAGTACCAATTTCAAATAATTCCAATTCACAGTTTTAGTCTATTTAAGTTTTTTTTTTAAGATACACTTCATGTCTGTGATTGGTGACGAGAGTTGAGGTCTGATGGTTTATGAATGTTATATTCTTGAATCTGATTTGTGTCTTTATTCTTTTAGGAGACTGTCCAGTTTGACAATGTCTGGCGGGGATTGTGGACTGTGGATATATCACTTGGTGGATGTGGGTGAGGGTAGTGTGGCTGATGTTATTAGGTGTGATGGTGTCCTGATGTTGTGGGCCAATTGGCAACGGGTTTGTTGCAAGGTAGTTCCTGGGTTAGGGTTTGTTGGGGTTGGGTTGTTGGTGGTATTGTTGGTTGGGGGGTGTGGCGGACGGGTCTCCCAGCTTGTGGGGTTGGGTCTTTGGTGGTTGTAGATCCTTATAGGTTGGGGGGTTTTAGTTGGGGGCTGAAGGTGAGAGGGGGTTGTTTTTTTGTTAGGCGCCTGTAGTAGGTACTTCTGGGAACTTTGGTCTTCAACTGTTTCTTTACTTGCGGTGGGTATTGTAGTTGTGAAGCTTGGGCTTGTGGTGTTTGTGTCGGGGGGGGGTTGTTGGGGGTGGGGGGGGGGGGAAACGTAGGGTGTTGTTAGGGTGGTGTTTTGTGGTGTTTTTGGTGTGCGGAGGACTGTGTGGGGGGGGTGGTGGTGGGGGATGTGAATGGGGATTCGGGTTTGGGGGATGAAGCGGGGGTAGGGGTTTAGGGGGCGGGGGCTAACAAAAGTGGAAGGGGGGGGCGGGCTGGGTATATTGTCAAAGTGAAATGTTAGGGTAGGACAACACAAGTTCGCACGGTTGGACTAGGGGTAGGTTTTTGGGTGTGTCATCTTTGTGGGAGTTGGTGTGGGGTATCCTGTAGCCGGAGGTGTTTCGGAAGCGGTTGGTGGGTGGGTAAGGTAGCGGGGGCGGTAGGAGGGGGGGGTAAACGCTGTCGGTGCGGGGAGGGGGTTGGTTTTGGACTTGGGTGGGAATTGGTGGGTCGGGGGGGGGGTTGATTGGTTTTTGGAGTTTTTGGCAGGTAGGTTTGGAGGGTTGGGATGGCTTGTGAAAGTGTTGGGGGTTGTTTCTGTGATTGTGTTTGTTTGGCGGTTGTTTCGGGGGGGGGTGGGGGTTTGGGGCAAGAAGGGTTTGGATTGGACATTTTGAGGTGTGAGCTACAGCTCACTTCATCAGATGTATACCGTGGAAACTGCAGCAGACTTTATTGTAGACAGACAATTTGATCAAGACAACTTGGTGCATGATCTTTAGGACCTAGCTCAGAGGTGGGCAAACTACAGCCTGCAGGACCGTCCTTCCTGGCCGGGGAGGCTTGCCCCCAGCCCCTTCCCTGCTGTCCCCCCTCTCCCGCAGCTACACCGCTGCGTGGGCAGCGCTCTGGGCAGCGGGGTTGTGCGCTCCTGCCGAGCAGAGCGGCAGCGTGTCTAGCTCCAGGTGGGCGGTGCGGCTGCCAGACATGCTGCTCTGAGCGGCATGGTAAGGGGGCTGGGGGTTGGATAAGGGGCGAGGGGTCTTGGGGGGCAGTCAGGGGACAGGGAGCAGGGGGCGGAGGTTCTGCAGGGGGGCGGGGCGGTCAGGGGACAGGGAACGGGGGCGGGGGTTGGATAGGCACAGGGTCCCGGGGGGCCTGTCAGGGGGCGGGGTGTGTGGATAGGAGTTGGGGGACTGGGAGCAGGGGGGTTGGATGGGGGTGGGATCCCGGGGGGCGGTTAGGGGCGGGGGGTCCCGGGAGGGGGCAGTCAGGGTACAAGGAGCAGGGGGGTTGGATGGGTCGGAGGTTCTGAGGGGGGCAGGAAGTGGGAGGGGGCGGATAGGGGGTGGGGTCCAGGCTGTTTGGGGAGGCACAGCCTTCCCTACCCAGCCCTCCATACAGTTTTGCAACCCCAATGTGGCCCTTGGGCCAAAAAGTTTGCCCACCCCTGACCTAGCTGCTTCCAAAGCAATGGGGCTTCTGTGCAGACTTTTTTTATGAGATTGACGTTATTGCCGACTACTACACTGCGTGGAACTGAAAAGAATGTCATTATTGTTTAAGTTCCAGTAGTGTCTTGAGAAATACTGAGAAGTGATTATATTTATATTAGCTTGATTATTTGTATTACAGTAGCATCAAGAGGCTCCGACCGAGATGTGGGCCCCCAGCATGCCAGGCAGACAATCCCTGAGAAGAGCTCACACTTAGAGGAGGATGGAAGGGGGAAACTAAGGCACAGAAAGAGGTAATGCCTTTCCCAAGGCCATGCAACAAGTCAGTGGCAAAGGTGGCTATCGAACCCAGAGCTCCCAGCTTGCAATCCAGTACCCAAATCACTGGATCTCACTGCCTCTCCGAATAACAAATATGGAGTCCAATGGTTAGAGCAGGAACTTTGGAAGTCAAGACTCCTAGGTTCTACTCCTACCTATTATAATATGTGCTTATAGCAGTATCCTGGACTTTGCTTTTTTTAGAAAATCTACAAGGATTTTATATAGATTGGCTAATGGAGAATACTCTAGTTCTTATAAAACATATTAAAAATCCATTCCATGATGTAAAAGTCTGTTTTATCCTTCACTGGTTTATACTTAACTCCATAAAGTATAAGTGATTTCCCCCCTTATTGAATAGACTGTTCAGCTTGAGTGCTCTGTTCTCTAGAGATGGTTGGAAAATTTCCAACAGAACATTTTTCTGTCAAAAAATGCTGCAATAATGTATCAATTTAGATGGAAACCAGCAGGTTTCCTGCCCCTCCCTGGATCCTCGGCAGCTCACCTGGGGAGACGGGACCAGAAATTTTGAACAAGTTCCATTTCAGTTCTTCCCAAAGGGATTTTTTTTTTAAATGTCCCTCCGATGGAAAATTTCCTATGTCTGACTTTTTGTTGCAATACAGAAGGACATTTTTATTCAGAAATGAAAACTTTTATTTGGGAGGCAAATTCTGGTTCCCACACAGCTCCACAATGACTTTTGGCCAGGGAAACCTAGAGATCAAATATTTGAAATAATTATTTTCTGAAAACTATAATGCAAAAATAAAGAAAGAAATGTTGTCACCTTTGTCACCCAAGTTTGTGATACAGTCAGAACAGAATTGGGCTGTGGCTGGTGCATCACTGTGGCCATTTAAAAAGTCCACAACACACCGCATGTTCCCCTATCTCTGTTTCCCCACCCCACAATTTCATTATAATCCACCGAAACAGACATGCTGTTTCACCCTGACACATCAGGGAATGCAAGACAAATAGATCAAGCTATGTGTTAAGGGCAGATGAAGAAGAGAAAAACTTGCCAGTCACCATAAGAAATGTCACCCTCAACAAATTAAACTATATGCCACAGTGCACATAGCATATGCTTGCTTGTACTCCTGGAATAGGAGAGAGCTTTGTAGACAAGCAAGCAAGACTAATCTTTGGCTTTTAGTTAATGTCTGTAGGGGTTTGGGGAGAATAAAGTTCATTATATTTGTCCAAAGCTTCAACTTTTCACAAGCAGACAAGTTTTGCAATGCTGCTTTCCTTTTGTTTAAAACACATAGGAGCAAAATAATTACACATGTTATCAGGGAAACAAAACCACTGAATCCAGCACAGATAACCAGGCAGCGAATGTGTGGAGCTTTTTGTTTCCCTGTGGTTGTCTCTGGGCTAAAGGGCAAATTGTGCATTTCCAACGGAGTGAAAAATTCCCCTGTATGTCTGCAACCCTGAAAGATAAATCCCCTTTCCGGCAGGTTGAAAATGACATCATCAAACTGAGCTGGAAGTTGTAGCTGCTAGGAATAGATGGGTTTCAGAGTAACAGCCGTGTTAGACTGTATTTGCAAAAAGAAAAGGAGTACTTGTGGCACCTTAGAGACTAACCAATTTATTTGAGCATAAGCTTTCGTGAGCTACAGCTCACTTCATCGGATGCATATGATGAAGTGAGCTGTAGCTCACGAAAGCTTATGCTCAAATAAATTGGTTAGTCTCTAAGGTGCCACAAGTACGTCTTTTCTTTTTAGGAATAGATGGTTGATCATGCTGAATCAGGCCCGAGGTCATCTAGTTTAGCATCCTGTCTCCCACAGTGGCTAACACCAGTTGCTTCAGAGGAAGGTACTAGAAGCCCCGCAGTGGCGGTAATGGGGTAGCCTACCCCCAGGGAAAAATTTTTCCTGACCCCCAATAATTTATGCCCTGGAACAGGAAGATTTATGTTGCTTCCAAAACTCTTGGGTTGCTTTGTGTTTTGATAATCTGACCTAGCTGCCAGTAGCCTTGTTAAAGATCAACATGCGGGTGCTGCCCATGAGACAACGTCTGCTATTGACAGTGCCTAGGAAGGGCGACAAAAAAACTTTATTACTTGAACAATGCTCCATTGCTTTGAGAAAATAAACACCTCTACAGGTGCGAAACATAGCAAGGAAGCTTGACTCCCCTCTGAGTTAAGGAAACCAATAATTAGGAATGGATTTCCTAGCTCTTCCCCTCTCTTCAGATTACTTACCCAGCTCGCTGATCGGAGAACTCTGGTCCAGAATATATTTCTTAGTCATTATGCCGAAGCGGTGTTTGCCACTTATCCCACAGCTCCTGGGACACAGCAGCGGAGCCCACTCTGCTCTTGTCTTTATACAAGTGTCCCCCCTCCGATAAGATAACGGTACTTCAGATATGCCCAGGAATTGGCTGGCATTGGGCAGAGCTACTTGAAAGAAGCTTAAGAAACCAATTGGAATGTTGTTTTCCAAACACAATTAACCCGGCTTTCCTCTTATCATTGTGAAAAGAACTGACAGGGGGGTTATTAATGGGTCATTAATTGGGTATCAGAAACCTTGATCCAGAGGACTTTCCCTAGTTCAAGTGGCTGTGGCTTATCCACTCCCCTGAACAAATGTTATCAATATGGAGTGCTAAATCAAAAAGCCATTTGGTAGAACTTTATGCAGCTCTCTGGCAATTAAGTGTGTGAGACACGCTGGACTCTGCTCTGACAGGGCCATTTTTCCGACAGATTAGAAGCAGAACGGGCATTGCTGTGTCGCAGTACATGCAGCGCTCATAGGGCATCAGCTGAGTAAATACGATACAAAGTATCATGGATCGATGCTGATCTGAAAGTTTTGTAAAGACTGAATGTATCAATCGATGACCTGGAAGCTATCAGTAAAGCCTATAAAAGCTTCTGTGCATTTCTTCTGATAAGCAAAAGCTGAACATGCAGAACGTGAGCTGCCATATACTCATTTGACAGGCTTATCACCCAACAGGGCATGGGAGGTATCGTGCCACCTCAGCCTTTCCCCAAAGGTGGTAGAATTCATAAATGTATTTGGCTCATGATGACTGTGAAGCAGCCACCAGGCCTTCTGAAAGGATAGGATGGTATGACCGTGCCTCTGTGGGTCACAACTGCGAATACCAATTCAGGACAAACCGCTGAGAAATAGAGCAAGCACACCCCAAAACTGGTGGGTTATTCTCCCATAAGATATATCAAACCAGCAACAAAAGTAAACTTCCGTTTCACCAAACTGACTAACAAGAAGCAGTCTCCTTAGGCATTCCAGTCCTTGTATCGCCACCAAAACCACTAGATTTAATGAATGAGTGGTTATTTAAAACCAATTTAATCAAACAAAAGGGTTCTTCTGATCCCAAAGGACATGCCACATACCCAAAAATCATGCTGTTGCCAGTCCTTTACTATCTAAAATCTGAAGGTTTATGTATAAAAAGAAAAAGAAAGAAAGGTGAGAATTAAAATTGGCTAAAGGAATCAAATACATACAATAATTGCAAAGTTCTTGGTTCAGGCTTGTAGCAGCGATGGAATAAACTGCTGGCTTGTTAAGTCTCTGGTTGCTTCCAAATCCTTGGAAGGTCTGCAGTCCCTTGGTTAGAATGCTCCCATTAGTATAAGTTCATAGTCCAGAGATTTGAGCAGGAAAGAGGCAAAATGGAGATGTCTCCAGGGCCTTTTATAGCTTTTGCCAAGTGAAGGGGAAACCTGTTGTTCTAGTTTGTGGAAAACCACAAGTAACAAGATGGTGTTTGGAGTCACATGGCCAAGTCACATGTCCATGTATGATTTCGCTTAGTCATAGCAGAAGCCATCCCATACTACAGTTAGAAGGTTCACAGGAAAGTCCATTACATGTGGATAGGCATTTTCCATGCTCCTTTGTGAGTTAAGTTTCAGAGTAGCAGCCGTGTTAGTCTGTATCTGCAAAAAGAAAAGGAGGACTCATGGCACTTTAGAGACTAACAGATTTATTTGAGCATAAGCTTTCGTGAGCTACAGCTCACTTCATCAGATGCATGCAGTGAATTGGGTTCTGCATGCTAACACCCAGAGTACTTTTTCCAACACTTCGGTATTTCATACGGGTGCTGGTATAAGCTCAGTATCAGCAGTGAACTGAAAGGGTCACCAAGTTCTTTTGGCTACAAAGCTCTTCCCTGCAACATTTCACAGACTATTTCAGTTCATCTCTTTTTCCATGCTTGCTTTTAAGCCTTCAAATAACTTGTTTTATCGCACCTCCTGCCTGGACTTTGTGAAAGTCCTTGCTAGATTTTCATCTATGTAATCTGGTTAGCGGCGCACACACCCTTTCACAGCTCAGTGTAAGTTGTTAGACAACATAACTCAAGCTGTCTGTAAATGAAGGCTGGAATTCCCGTTCAGGATTCTGAAGAAACTGCCTTTGCATTCGGAGGTTCTTTAATGTGCTTCCCAGGACTATGGCCCTCAGGCCATTTCTGCATTAATGAAATTTGTTCTGGCCCAACTACACCAATATAGTTGCATTGATGCAAACCCCGAATGTAGACGTGCTGCAACAGTGCAAAGCGAGGCCTATACAAGAGTAAGCTGCACAGGTGTAAACTCTGGTACATGTCTACACAAAGGGCAGGTCTACACTTAAAAGCACTTAAGTGAAGACGCTCCTATGCCAGCGGGAGAGCTTCTCCCGTTGGCAGAGTTAATCCACCTTCATGAGAGGCTCTCTAGACAGGGGGTTATGTTGGTATAAATATGTTGCTACCCCTGAGCAACGTAGTTAAACTGATATAAGTCTGTAGTGTAGACCTGGCCGGACGGTTTGCAATGATGTAGTTACAATGGTACCAGATTCCTTAATGCAGACATATGGAGCACCATGCTTTCCCCCAGACTCCTCAAAACTGAGGATCTGAAATGCGAAGCTGGAGTTTCTTTCCTGCCCAAATGTTAAGCCTGCATGCATCCGATGAAGTGAGCTGTAGCTCACGAAATCTTATGCTCAAATAAATTTGTTAGTCTCTAAGGTGCCACAAGTACTCCTTTTCTTTTTGTGAATTAAGTGTTCATTGATGGGCCATCCAACTTGAATAGCTCCTTCACAATGTGCTGGCTAAACACCTTGTTGTTACCACAGGAGCAAACATTTGAAATACAGGTGCATAGTTAATATTCATAACTTCAGATACAAAAATGATACATGCATACAAATAGCATAATCATATTCAGCAAATCATAACCTTTCTATAGACACTGTACTTGACATACTTTGGATAAGATTTGTTGCAATTATATAACAGTGATAGTAACAATGATCTGCATGGTCATATTTTAATCAGATAATGTCACAGATGGAATGACGCAATATTGATCATTCCCTTTCTTACTTCCCCTTCTCAATAGTTGGGCATGTTCCTATCGCACCCAACAGTCTACCATTAATAATTTTTGGAGAGGGGAGGGTGACAACCACTGTAAATTACAGAAACTAAACCAACATCCTTCAGTTTCAGTAAAGCCTTTCAGACATCATTGTTTAGTGGCTTGAGTATAGGAAAGGGAGCCAGGAGCCTTGTGACAGATATTGGCATTGTATTGATAACAAATGTTATCAATATGGGGAACTAAATCAAAAAGCCGTTTGGGAGAACGTTATGCAGCTCTCTGGCAATTAAATGCATAAGACACGCTGGACTCTGGTCTGACAGGGCCATTTTCCCCACAGCTTAGAACCAGAACGGGCATTGCTGTGTCACGGTACTTGCAGCGCTGATAGGGCATCAGCTGGGTAAATATGATACAAAGTGTCATTGATCAATGCTGATCTGAAAGTTTCATAAAGACTGAATTTATCAGTCGATGAGTATACCACATTGTATTAAATTTATGAATGGTTGATGTCTGATTGTGTTCTACTTCATGTGGGCGAGTAATCTTAGCTCTTCCAGGAGCTAAAAAACACTAAGGTAAATCACTGAGACTAAACAACTCTAGAGAGGGATCAGCCCTCATGCACGGGCTCAAGCTAAGTTTTCCATAGATTAGGAGACAAAGAAAGGGCCTTTTTCTATAAAAAGATTGGCTTGAACTGACACAGGGCCTTCTTTCTGATCCAGCAAACAGACAGGACCTTCTGTCCAACGGTTGGGGCAACCCTGGGGAAGGATTGGAAGGACTTTGATCTACTAGTGCCCCAGAAAACTGATGGTGACCTCTGGTAAGCTTTTAGCATATAGGAACGCTGATTGTTTTTTTATATTTTCTCTATAATACTTTTAACTTAAGAATGAATGTGCTTGCTTGGAAAGGGCTGTGTGATGACACTCAGAGAGAAAGCAAAGCATAGGTGCTGGTCTCTAGGCAGACTGACATGCCGGGGATATCACAGAGTAAGGCAGAGAGCAATACAGCCTTAAAACCCCCGGGGTCAGTAGGAATGGGACAAGAAACAGGTGATGGCTGGAGACCTGATTGGGAGTTCCAGGCACAGTTACTCTGAAATTGTGACATCTGGCTCTGATACTGATTCTCTTCTGTGACCACAGACAAGATATTTCCCCTCTCAGCCTTGTAAAATGGGGAGAACACTCTCTAACTTTGCCGGAAGTCTGTGAATTGCTTAGTGAATGTAAAGCTCACTGAAGATAAAACAAAATATTATTGAAGTGCTAATTAATTGATATTAAGAATACTATCCCAGAACAATGATGCAAAAAGAAATAAAGCCAAACTCTTCCCATGATGCCACTTCCAAGTTTGTTCCTGAAAACTGTACCAACAGGTCAAACGATATTGTACAAGAACAGCACAATCTACCCCATTTGAAAAAAGCAGGAGCTGTCCATCAAGACATTTGTAAGTTTGGTGGGTAAGATATACAGTTATTATTTGCATAGCATCAACTACAGGCAAGGCACTTGTACCACTGCATTTAGCCATTCCCTTTATTGGCACTTTAGGGAACAAGAAAATCACATCTAAAGAGAGTTAAGGTAACCGAGGAGTCCTGGCAGAAACGAGGGAAGGTGGAAGGGTGCGAGAAAGAGGGAGGGAGGGACAGGCACAATTGGACAAGAAGAGGGACTCATGGAGAAACAGAGAAGAGAGAAAAGGAGTACTTGTGGCACCTTAGAGACTAACAAATTTATTTGAGCATAAGCTTTTGTGAGCTACAGCACTCTAAGATGCCACAAGTCCTCCTTTTCTTTCTGTGGATACAGACTAAAACGGCTGCTACTCTGAAACCAGAGAAGAGAGAGTTTGACAGGTGGGTTGGAAATTGTTAGACAGTGGAAAGATCTCACATGTCTCAGAAATTCCTGGAGATTTTATTTAGCTCAGCAGTTCTTACAGTATCACACCCAGTGCCAAGAGAGGAAAGTCTCACGCCCTTATGTGGGCATAGGGTGACCAGATAGCAAGTGTGAAAAGTTGGGACACTTTTTTTTTTTTTGGTGAGGTGGGTATAGTTGCATATATAAAACAAAGCCCCTAATGCCAGGATGTCTGGTCACCCTATGTGGATGTGACAGAACATATCTTTTGAAGGCAGGGGAATGGTGTGTAAAGATCCCACTACAAGACAACACTAGGAATAACCCCCTCTAGTGGCTTCAGGTGGCACAGGCATAAATCATGAGTTATCTCTTGGCCTGGCTGGCTGTACAAGTGCTGGCAAAGTCCAGAGAGTACAGAAGCCTTGGGTCTCCGCACACATAGGAATGGGTTTATGCAGGACATCTTCCAGAACATTCAGGAGACAGCATCTGCCCTGAGGTGTTCACAGTCTGACATCAGCAAAATTGCAGGGTGGCAATCAGGGTACAGGAGAGCTCAGAATGTTGGGGACACTGGGGCATGGCCACTAGGTAACTCGAGGGGATGGAAGACCACGAGTGTCGATGAAGCCCCCTCGCACTAGGCCCAAGTGTCCTTGGCCCCCCCCACCTGGAGGCACTCGCAGCAGTTATGCTGAGGATCTGCAACAATATGTTGCAGAGTCAGACTGCCTGAAACTAAACAAGGCCAAACAGGGCAGATATAGAAGAACAATGCTGAATAAAGCAGCTTTATGAATAGTTTAATAAATGATACAAAAAACAAGGGAACTAGCTGGGAACTGGATTGGCTGGCTATATGGATACTTAGGGCAGCTTGCTATTGGATAGGTATGCTGGGAAAAAGGATGTATAAAAGCCTGTGTAACTTCCTGCTCTGGGTGCAGGATTTGAGATTCTATTCTCCCTGGACCTTGTTTGCAGCTGCAAATAAACTTTTCTGCTTCTCCACCCCGTTGTGATTATTGGGTGACGCACACCGGGTAGCGAACCCCACCCTGCTGTTGTTTTGCCTCTTGGCACTGGGTGCCGGCAACAGCTTTTGGCGTCCCTGGGTGGGCGATGAGGCTGCTATTTAGCCTTGCCTGGACTCCTCCTGGAGGTCGAGGATTGCGGCGAGAACCGACGCCCACTGCGCACCGGTGAGTTCATCGGGGACCTCGGAGGAGGCGCGATTTGATCAACCCTGGAGGGTACAACAGTGCAACGCACTCATATAGTGGAGAAGCAGCTGTGGGCACCGGTGAGGAACCGGTCCCTTGGACATAGGGGAGGAGCAGCTGCAGGCGACGGTGAGGAACTGGTCCCTTGGATGAGGTAGGAAGGAACCTTTTGAAATCCGGATTGTATGCTCTGTTGGAACTGGGGACGCCCAGAGTTACCCTGTAGGTATGGGTCAGGGACAGAGCTCGGGGGTTAGGGCACAGTGTATGCCCCTAGAATGCATTCTAGCAAATTGGAAGGTATTTGGTGCGGATCCCATGACTAAGAGCCAATTAAAACGATTCTGTACAGATGACTGGCCTCAATATCAACTAGAGGACCAGGAGTGGTGGCCACCAGGAGGGTCAATTAATTACAACACGATCCTCCAATTAGTTTTGTTTTGTCAGTGAATGGGTAAATGGAATGAACATTTGTATGCACAAGCATTTATGGCTTTAAGAAACAGAACAGAGCTGTAATTCTGCAAAGCTGTAATCTGACTCCGACTGGTTCGGTAGTAGCTAATGTTAGTCCCCAGACCCCCACCCCCACTGTAATGGCAGAGCCGGTGTCCCCTTCGGCCCCCACACCCCCACCTTATAAGGGTAGGATGCCTCGGGTTACAGAGATTGCCCCCTCAGTGGGACTCTATCCTTTGATTACCGAGACTGTTGTGGCTTGCCCAGGGGCAGACGGACGTCAGGCTACCACTGTGCAAGTTTACACCCATGTGCCATTCAATCCAATAGACCTAGCAGCTTTTAAAACACAGGCTGGGGAATTCTCCATGAACCCAAGCAGGTTTATTTCAGTCTTTGAGGGGTGCCTCAGTAGTCACAAGCCGGATTGAGACGACTGTAATATCCTCCTGAGAACCCTGTTGTCTGAGGTAGAGCGGAATCAGGTTACAGCTAAGGCAAGGGGAGCTTCAGCTTTCAAGCGGAAAAAAAAAAAAAAAAGAAAGGAAGCTATCTGTCAAGTTCCTACCCCAAGTAATCGTAAGCGGCTCAGGGCATTTCTGGGTATGGCAGTCTTTTGCAGGATATGGATCCCAGAGTTTGGACTGTGGGCTAAACCCCTGTACGACTGTGTAAAAGGAGCAGATCATGACCCCTTCTATTGGACCCCAGAGGCTGACAGGGCATTTAAAATCTTGAAAAGGAAGTTGATGGAAGCCCCGGCTCTGGGCCTGCCGGATCTCTCTAAGCCGTTTCAGTTGTATGTACATGAACGAAAGGGGGTGGCCTTAGGAGTGCTCACACAGCTGTTAGGAGCATGGAGACGTCCCGTGGCTTATTTTTCTAAGCAACTGGATCAGGTTGCAAAGAGTTGGCTGGCATGTTTACGGGCGGTCGCAGCTACTGCCCTAGTGCTTGAGAAAGCCAAGAAGCTAACATTGGGAGGAGTTATGCAAATCTATACTCCCCATATGGTCCGAGCCTTATTGGATGCAAAGGGAGGGCTTTGGCTCATCCAGGCTCGGATTGCTCAGTACCAGGCTAAGCTGTTAGAGAACTCTGAAGTCACCTTACAGCCTTGCCCCTCCCTTAACCCAGCCACCCTCTTGCCAGAAACAGAGGAACAAAAACATGACTGTTTAGAGATCATAGATGCCCAGTACTCCAGCCGTCCGGATTTAAAGGATGTACCCCTCCCAAATGCAGATTATGGGTGGTACACTGATGGTAGCAGTACTGTAATAGATGGGCAAAGGAGGGCGGGTTATGCGGTTGTGACCCTCCATGACATTGTGGAAGCTGAAGGTTTTCCTGCTGGGACTTCTACCCAGCTTGCCAAACTAATAGCCCTGACCCGTGCACTTGAACGGTCAAAAGGAAAGCGGGTCAACATTTTTACTGATTCAAAGTATGCTTTTGGTATGCTACATGCTCATGCTGGCCTATGGAAGCAAAGGGGAATGCTGTCAGCCCAAGGCTCCCCAGTCAAGTATGGGCCCCAAATCCTCTGGCTCATAGAAGCCGTACAACTCCCCTCGGAAGTGGCGGTGGTACACTGTAAAGACTATCGAAGGGAAGATCAAGATGTGGCCAGAGGTAACGCCCGGGCAGATAGAGAGGCTAAGCATGCTGCCACCCTGCCATCCTCTCAGACTGAGAACGCCCATATGCATGCCCTTATCCCATCAGTAGGGGAGCTTCCAACCCCTCAGTACTCTGGGGAGGAGAGACAGCTAACTGACAAACTCGGTCTCTGGGAAAAGGAGGGATGGCTCCATTCCCCGGAAGGGAAGGTCCTCTTACCAAAGGGCCTGATCCAGCTGGTGCTGCAGAAACTACATCAAACCACTCATGCTGGCAGGGAAGCACTTATCCAACTAATGGGAAAATATTTTATCACTTCCGGACTCCGACCCCTGGCTGCCCAGGTACAAGCGGACTGCTTAGTCTGCCAAAAGAATAACCCCCGACCGGGACATCCTGTGCCACCAGCTGCCCTAGAACCCACTCCGGGCCCCGGACAAGTGTAGCAAATAGACTTTACTGAGTTTCCCCGGACCCAAGAGTTCAAACATCTCCTTGTCATAGTGGATCGGTTCAGCGGATGGCCAGAAGCCTTCCGATGCCATAACTGCACTGCCAGAACAGTGGCCCTCAAGTTTGTTAAGGAGATCATTCCTCGCTTTGGACTCCCCCTGTGGATGGAATCTGACAACGGGACACACTTCACTTCAAAAATTATCCAAAGCATCTCACATGCCTTACAGATCCCCTGGAAACTCCATACGCCCTGGAGACTGCAAGCCAGTGGGGTAGTGGAGCGTACCAATCAGACCCTTAAACGGCATCTCTCAAAAGTGTGCCAGGAAGCCTCACTGCGATGGCCTGATGCTTTGCCCCTCGTCCTACTTCGTATTTGTTCTCCCAAAGAGTAGATTAGGGCTCAGTCCCTTTGAAATTATGTTTGGAAGGGCATGGCCTATGAATGGCACCCCGGTTCTGTCAGGGGAATGGGAGTTGGGTAATGGTTTTTTGTCACAGTGTATGTGTTCCCTGTCTGCTGTTCTCTTGTCTCTTCACAGGTATACGAAGGATTCCCAGCCTCTCCCCTTGGACTCTCCCGTCCACTCCTTACAGCCCGGTGACTCCGTACTTGTTCGTACCTGGAAAGACGAGCCTCTCCAGGAAAGGTGGAAAGGACCCTATACCGTCCTGCTGATCTCCCATACAGCGGCAAAGATCGAGGGACACAAGAACTGGATCCATCACTCTCATCTGAAGGCAGTACCCGCCCCCTCGTCAGCAGAACAGTGGACCGTCCAACCTGCTGACTCCTCATCTAGTGACGATCTCGGGCTAAAGCTACTGTTTAAAGGACACAAATAGCGGGCACCTTAATGCTAAAATGGGCCCACCCAGGTACTGGAGACCCTGGGTTGGGAAGACTCTGGTGATAATTAATTGGGTAACATTGTTATTCTCTGTATTGGTATTTCCAAACTGTGCATATCGGGACATAACTCCTTTGTTTTGCTTGCGCACCATGTTGCTACTTTAACAAACTAGACTGATTGCTGGGTATGTGCTCCAACTCCACTGCCCCCCAAAACGGGAATGCCCCTTGACGTACTTCCCCTGACCTTAGCAGAATTAGCCGCCACCAAAGAGCAGAAAAGAACGGACTCGCCGTTCTGAAATAAGACCTCTTTACAGCAAGCCACCTATAGGACCAGGAGTATTCAGTTGCAGTACTCACTGAGGGAGTGTTATGTTTTACGCAAAACCAGTCTGATCACTATGGGTGTCCTGTGGGAAACAGGTCCTGTGTTATTACACAGTGGGCTGAGGGGTATTGGATAAAGACCAAAAGGGGAGGCCAGCAGTGTGGGTGTAATGGTTCCTCCCCTTTTAGGGAAACTCTTACAAATAATCTTACCACAAAAGAAAGGTTTGGAAATATAACTTGCCGTCCAGTTAATATCTCCAACGTAGCAAGCCAATGGTGGGTTTGTAGTGGTCCCTATGGCGAGTGTAATTTGAACGGCACAATTAGAAATGCCCCCACTTGTACCCAATCAGGAGGATGGGATGCCCCCTTAGGGGCATATGAACTGTTTGGAAAAGCAGCCTTAAATATCCCAGGAATCCCCTTAAGAAACAGTCCTTACTGGGCCCTACAGGGTCACTATTTTGTATGTGGCTGAAAGGCTTACAAGGTGCTGCCAGCCAACTGGACAGGTAGCTGTTATATACCTCATGGAGTTCCTCATCTGTCCATAACTGCCACATTGCCCAAAGGAAAGATTAGAAATGCCCAAGACACTTCTGTTGAGTCACGAGAAAAGACCCTGCGGCGACTGACTACGGCATTGGAGGGCAATATGAAAAGTTCCCTCACAACCGAGAAGCTTATAGGGTGCTCTGTACTGGGAATAGTGCCACTGTTTACCAGGCCAGCCATGGCATGCATAGGCCGCTATACTGTAAGGCTGCAAATGGTACTTGAGAAAGTGGCCTTAGAGTTAGAGGACTCGGTTAGTGATTTAGGATCAGCAGTAAAAACATTAAATAAAGAGGTACAGCAGCTCAGGACCTTTTCCCTCCAAAACAGGCTGGCTTTGGACTATCTCTTGGCATCCCAAGGAGGGGTTTGTGCCCTCGTCGGGCCCCGATGTTGTGTATATGTAAATGATAGCAGTTATGAGATCTATGAAAAGGTGGTACAGGCTGAGGCCCATGCCCGAGCCGAAGCACAGGTTGCCTATACTGCCCCAGAGAACAATTGGTTGCAAACCTTGTTTTCAGGCTGGGGTTTGTCGTTTTGGCTTGGTGGTTTATTTAGCCTGTTATTGAAACTTCTCTTTCCTGTATTGCTTGTATTAATGGTATTATGCTGTGCAGTATCATATGTCAGGGCCCTTTTGCAAAAGTTAATAAGTCATTCTCTTCAGGGCTATCACAAAGTGCCTATGCAAAGTCCTACTGTAAAGAAATAAATAGCCCAAGTGAAAAAACTCAGAGCCAAGGCTGTTGAGTGTTCTCAAAGGAGGGAGTTGTTGAGGACACTGGGGATGGCCACTAGGTAACTCGTGGGGATGGAAGACCACGAGTGTCAATGAAGCCCCCTCACACTAGGCCCAAGTGTTCTTGCCCCCCCTGCCTGGAGGCACTTGCAGCAGCTCTGCGTACTAGGCCCCCCCCACCTGGAGGCACTTGCAGCAGTTATGCTGAGGATCGGCAACAATATATTGCAGAGTCAGACTGCCTGAAACTAAACAAGGCCAAACAGGGCAGATATGGAAGAACAATGCTGAATGAAGCAGCTTTATGTATAGTTTAATAAATGATACAAAAAACAAGGGAACTAGCTGGTAACTGGATTGGCTGGCTATATGGATACTTAGGGCAGCTTGCTATTGGATAAGTATGCTGAAGGATGTATAAAAGCCTGTGTAACTTCCTGCTCTGGGTGCAGGATTTGAGATTCTATTCTCCCTGGACCTTGTTTGCAGCTGCAAATAAACTTTTCTGCTTCTCCACCGCGTTGTGATTATTGGGTGACGCACATCGGGTAACAAACCCCTGCTGTTGTTTTGCCTCTCGGCACTGGGTGCCGGCAACAAGAGCATCCTGATCCATGCGCAGGCAGGAGGCTGTCACTGCCCCTTTGGCAGCGACTGGTTCTTCCCAAATGCACCCCAGGGTCATGTGAATAAAAGCGACTGGCACTTCACTCCGCAGGGGTAATATCTGCTGCAGCAGGTCCCACATATGCTGGAGGGAGCTCGGCCCGTGCTCCTCCTGTCTTGGGAGGGGATACGGGCCGGAATACCTCACCCATCCCCATGCCAAGGGCGGGGCTTGCCTTGCTCTCACCCTTCCTCCTGCTGTGTAGGATGAGAGGACGCGGGGAGCAAGGCCTTGCCTGGCTATATCCCCCTACCCCCTGCTCCACGTCTGGCTTACCCCTCCCCCTGCTGGGGGGCACATCCTGCCTCACTACTCCCACCCCCACCCCACAGCTGGGGAAGGGCCTGGATCACCTTTCCTGGGAGGGTGGCTCAGCCCCAGCTCCTGCTTCATGGCCGGGGAAGGGCCTGCCTCACCTTTCCTCCTACTCACTCCCTCTCGCGGGTAGTGGCTCATCCCCAGGCTCCGCTGCCTGCCCAGGCACAGACCTAGCCCCGCCCAATTCTCACTTCCGCCTATAGTCACATGCCCGACCTGCACGGGAGCACATCCGCCTATAGTCACGTGTGAATCGATGGGGAGAACCCGCCTGCTCGGAAGTTCCAGCCAATCAGCCCTCGGGCCTGTCCATCGCCCCGCTCCTCCCCCCCCCCGCCACTCCAGCCGCGCGATAACCTTTGCCCTTTGGCCCTTAGTGATGACCTTAGCGCCGTTGCCAAGATGGCGCTGTCCAGGCTGGGCTGTTGCCGGGGCGGTCTGCACGGCGGGCTCCTGGGCGTAGGGCCCGTAACCGTCCCCGCCAGCTGCCTGCGCCGGGTCCTGCGCGCTCCCGAGCCGGCCCCCGCCTGGAGGGCGCTGAGGTGCGCGCGGCCACCGGGTGTCAGGGGCAGGCGCGGGGGCCGCAACCCCCCCTTCAGTGACGGGAGCCGTGGCCGTTGGCCCCTCCCCCCGCCGCTTCCCCCGGTGACAGAAGATGTGTCCGTTGGCCCCTCCCCCCGGTACCCGTTGTGGCCGTTGACCCCCCCTCCTCCCCCCCCCGCGGGTGCTCGCTGCATCCGTTGGCCTTTCCCCGCCTCCTGCTGGTCTCCATGGTGACCGCTCAGCCGTCCCCGCCGTGCGTCCTGGTGCCAGCCATGCTGGGCCCTTCCCCCTCTGTCCCCTGCCAGCCGGGCCCATTGGGCCCTTCCCCCTCTGTGCCCCCTGCATGGCTCCTAGTGGCACCTGTGCCTACTGACCAGTCCTCCTCTGTTGCCCAGCCCCCCCCATGCCAGCTGCGCCCACTGACTCCTTCCTCCTCTGTGCGGACAGCCCCCCACTGTCAGCTCAGCTACACCTGTTGTAGAGGATCCTTGTTGCCAGTTCACCTGTGCTCCTGCCTTTTCACACCAGCTGCGCCTGTTTACCCTGGGGTTGGGTTGTGGTGGTAGGGGAGGGTTGGGCCGCGGATATTGTCTGAATCTTTGGATGTCAGTTTTTTTTCCAGGTGATTCTGGAGGTGACTTTGCCTCTTGCTTGGCTGCATCTCCCTGCGGCTGCTGCTGGATGCTCATTAGCTAGCTCAGGGCTACTTTGTGGAGATGAGCACCTCAGCCAACACATTTAGGAGCTATTGAAGCTTCCTGAGACTCTTTTGTAACATGATCTCCTTAAGTTTCCATCTCAGACACAATGGATCCAACTCTTCTCTCACTCACATTAGTGTAAATCAGAAGTATCTGATTATTTTTGTTGGCCCTGCAGTGGCCAAGACCGTATCAAAAAGAGTTGGACTCCATTCTGGCTCTGGCATCAGTAACAGAATTGTTAACTAAGGTGTGATTATTGGGCTAAATTCTGCCCTCATTGCACAAATTTAACAAGACAGACTCTGAAGGCAGTGGTGGTACATAGGTTCATCTGAGAATGGAATTTGGCCTGCAGAACCTTTGTTACCAGCATACTTCAAAAATGAAATCCCTGTAGAGTTTTGTCCCATCTTCCTCATTGTGAGTGGTGGTTTTTTCCACCCCCCGCCCCCCTTCACAGCTACTCAGGCTTTGCATCCAATCAAATCACTTCAGCTCAAGCCCTACATCCCCACAAGGCTTTGCTGGTTGGCTGGAGTGCATGTACTTTCCTCTTTACCGCCTCACTGTGCAGGGTATGGAAAGATCACCTGGTTCCTATAAGATTTTTCTGTGAGTTACTTTCTGTTACAGGCACCCAGCATGCTGCCTCTCTACAAAGACAAACCCCAAAGCCCTCCTTGCTGCTGTCATATCACAATTCAAATATGCCAATGGGAAATATGAGAGCTTTTTGGAAAGGACATTCCCCCGCTTCTATCTATTGTATTCGACTTTTCTGAAAGGTAGGTTTTGAGTGGGAGAACTGGTTTCTTTGACTGATTATAGAAAAGGCAGGCTCAATAATTGTAGCCTATTTTTTGTTAGCTAAAGGGACACTGTAAGACTAAAAATTGCTTATTTTTTTCTGTGTTTTATGAATAGTCTCAGAATTTTGCACATGAAAGAATTTTTAGGGTGGGATTTTCAAAGCCAATTTTTCAAGTCCCTTAAGCAATTGACGGAAAGTCTCAGCCGTAACATAGCATTAACTTATCACTTACGATGGGTGTTGGCTTTTTTTTGCATTTCATTCAGTTTGGACAATGAAAATAGACTAGCTAGTTTCACTCTGTTGGGTCAGGCTGTTTGGGTAATTAACACTTTCCAGACAAATGTTTAAAAAAAACCCGAAAAACTTCTTAAAACCATGAAAACTTTTCTATTAAGCTCTGTAAAATCTTTTCTCACAAAATCTAAATCTGAACTGCCAGACAACGTTGCTTTGAAAACTGCTCTATATCCAATAACATCCAATGTAGAGCCAGTGACTGGAAGTTGAAGCTAGACAAATTCAGACAGGTAATAAGGCACACTTTTTTAACAGTGAGGGTAATTAACCATTTGAACAATTTACAGAGGGTTGCAGTAGATACACCAGCTCAGGCAATTTTTAAATCAAGATTGGATATTTTTCTGAAAGATGTGCTCTAGTTTAAACAGGAGTTAATTCAAGGAAATTCTATGGCTTGTGTCATACAAGATGATCACAATAGTCACCTTCTGGGCTTCTCTATGATATGTTGTTTGTAAAGGCTGGACCAGCGTACTGGGAATAGATATTAACGATGAGATTTAAAGACCTCTTGTATATCCAAGTCAGAGGTGATAAGGAGGCTCCCTCCCCTTGAAAAAAGATCCAGTTTTAGTCACCCTATCACTAAAAGGATAAAGCAGAAATAGAAAGGTTCAGTGATGGGGAACAAAAGTGACAATTCCATATGGGGAAGAATAAAAAGGTTCAGACTACTTAGAGAGCAGACAGAAAAAAGCTGACATAATAGACAGATATTAGATAAGTTTTGTAAGCTTATTTATTCTCCATACAAGACCAAGGGGTCAGCCTCTTTACCTGAAAAGCAACGGATTTAAAATTAATACTTTTAATGGCCTTCACAAAATGCATAATTCACCCATGTAAGTCATTGCCATAATAGACTAAGGCCAAGAGCTTAGTAGGATTCCAAAAAAAACAATTCAACATTTATATGGATAATGAATGCCTACTGTTCTAGGATGAGTGTACAGGGTGGGCTTTTTAAAGGGACGAAGGGACATAGATCCTTAGGCACTTCTGAAAAATCTTGCCCGTAAGGGATATTAGCCCTCATGTTTTAGAGCAGAGGAAGAAACTTCTCGGATGCTTGAATCCTTAATGCAGAAGTGTCCATTCTGTGGGTTTTGTACCTTCCTCTGAAACATCTGTCCCCAGCTGACTCAGGAACAGGAGATCAGATTGGATAGACCACTGGTTTGATCTACTGTGGCACTTCCTGTTTTGATTTGAAGTCAGAATTTTATGTGTACCGAGGAAGCAGTAATTGTGTCTAACTGCCCTCCCTCCTCATGCACATCCCTCCAAAAAATCCTGTAATACAGCTTGATGGGCTACTCCAGTCTGCAGCCTGTGCTACTAAAGGTTTTGGATCAGTCAGGTAAACTGCTCTCGCATTCTGCGGATGGCTGCAACAGTTGGAAGAGCTGTTGAAATTTTGATGGCTTGAGTTAGATTCTACATGTTCCAGCCTCTATTCTTGTTTCACTCTCAGCTTCTTCTGTTCTCTGAATAACTCTATGTGGAGAACAGCCTATATGAGACTATCTACAATGCATCAAGTTGTGTTGTACTGCACTCTGCTGCTCAGTAGCCAAACTAAATAAGGATGTAAGGGATTGTGAAGGACATTGTCAAGGGATCTCTGGGGCAGAGCACAGCTCCAGGCCTGAAGGTAACATCTGTATTCTGTACAGGATTTCGGACATTGTTTTCGGAAGCAAAAGAAATAAGAAGAATAAAGTTAAACATGTCCCTTCAAAAGATCGATTTTCATCAGCTTCCATACAGGGAGATGGAAAGATTAAGACAGGTGGGGGCCACCTTTCAGGTTCCTGTTTCTTACTCTGGTATCTGTAAGTTATGCTGAATTTCTCAAACGATCAAGCATTTTACTACACTGTCCCATGCAACTGGCAACCTTGTTTAGTGACTTACACCTCTTGTGATTCCATGACAGAGAGAGAGTGCCCTGCTTTTAGAGGGTGGGTCTGCTTTTGTCACTGGGTAGACTCTCTATCCTTTCTGTGAAGGGAGGGTCAAGATACACACTTTAAAGAACCTGCCACCATAGCATGGTGGCTTTACAAAGTTGGGTATTTAACCCAAGGCAGCTTGGCAGTTTGCTCTGGCCTATAATGTTCCTGGCACTTACAGAGCATTTCTTATTGAGAGCAGGGTTAGAATGC